TACTGATATCTAAAAAATAAACCTATAAGCGCGCTGAGCGGTGCAACAGACAAGCATCCACTAATACCTGGGCAACAAAATGAGTGGGTGTGCAGCAGATAGTTGAAATTTACCAAACACCAAGACTGCACTCGCGGGGCATTATTGCTTACGCCATACGTCATTTCTAAATCCCATGTTTTTTGACACATTCTAAAGCACCATACATCTATTATACAACCAATATAGAATGGCGGTGTGCGCTAATATATTAAAAATGTATACGTAGTACACCGTGGGTTATACTGTAGTTACAGAATTAGTTTGCGCCCTCTGAGAGTTAAAATATATTTGCAAAACCTGAGAAGAGGATCTAAACATCCATGTACTTAAATTCCGCAAGTTTTTTTGGAAAGGGGATTTGATTATGCTGTTTATAAACTTTCATTATTTTTGGCAGACATCAAAGCAGTAGATACATATTACACTTTAATTACACGGTAATTTAGATTTCCCTGGAACTAAATGGGGTAATTTAGGAAATATGTGCCAATTTATTTTTCACTCTATTTGAAATTATATTTTAGTCAAAGTCTAAATTTTGTTTGAATGCAATAACCGCAAACATTGTTTTCGTATTTCATATAAATATGCAAAAATTACAACCGATAAGTCAGCCACATTTTGCAAAAAATCCGGGGCTCTTCAATTCCGCCAGCCAAAGTTCTTCTGCATTACTATCAGACCTTTCGCAATAGATTTTTGAAAGCTGCTTACGGCTAGTGCCAGCGCTAGAGTCACCAGTCGAATTCAAAACAGAAAAACAAAGGCCAAACTCCAATGCTTTACGGCAACCACCGATTTTGAAATACATAGACGCTTTATAACCTGAGCTCATTAAGAGCAGTGCATTGTATGTTTATTGCATATCTGTTTCCATGACATCAAGTAACTTCATTTTTTAAAATTATTTTCAATGGATTTTCCTGGCATAAGTCTCAATATATCCGGATAGAGCGCAACAATATAGATGCAAAAATATATGTGAACGTTTGTCTATTGAGTCACTCATAATACGCATAAAATTTATATTTCTTTAATTAGGTTAAATAATTTGCAGTCAGACTAATACAACAGTGTTCTGCTGTAAATTTAGCAAAGTGTAACCCATGCTTGCGCAGTTCTAAATCTGTTGTTGGCAATTCTGATCCAACACTCCTGTAGAATTGCATATGGGACTTTATACCTGTCTGCTTTTCAGTTCGAAGAAGCCAGTAAATCAATAACAGTATAAGACATCACGAGGCAGTATGAAACCGAAACGTAAGTGCTCTTATGCAAGAAGTCATCCCAGACTCGGTGCCTTCTAAGTTTAGCAGAAATGTACACAAGGAAAATGATGCATGGTAACATACGGCATAAGAATAACTGCAAGTCAATGAACGGATATGTTTCGGATAACAGCACCCAAAATATCGAAAGACATTTTGAAAAACCAATTCAAGTATGGTAGGTGAATAAGGCTCCAGATAGTGATATTCTTAAGGCGTTCTACTGTATCTTTGCGGGCGTTTCCGAAGAGGTGACGTCCACAATAATCTGCACCACTACAAAACAATTGTTTTCAAAGTATTTACATTTTCTAACGAGTATAGTCTGTTTTTAAATTTTCAAGCGAACGTGTTTACAAAAAGATTGCAACACAATTTTATTCAAACTAAAATTTTTAGGCATTTCTATGCGAGATCTTCAAGGGGAAGCTCTTTTTAAAATTACTCAATTAAGTTTGAATGGGTCCAAATTTAATGCCATGCCTGTTGGTTTTTATTTGAACTGCCTCATTGATCTGCTATTTGTTGTGGACGAATCCGTTCGGTAAAGAGCAATTAATAACGCCGCACGTCTCAGACATGATACCATTGCTTGACTGTGACACCGCGTTAGACAGTTTTCCCAAACGTCTACATGACCTCAGCCGTTTTGCTTACTCCATTAAACAATTACTTGTCGTTAATTTTTGAGGCACGGTATGTCAACCAAACAATATAACGAATATGTTATTAAAAGGTGGGCCCAAATCAACTGCATTGCATTCAATTGATGCTCAATAGCCACATAGGATGTAGGAACAATAATCGTTACCAAATCTGACGTTAAGATTTCCTTTGTAGTGATTTGTTTGTTGGACCGATTTGAGCATATATTGTACGTGCCTAGGTAAATACCTGAAATATCTTTCTAAAACCAAGAATACCCTCAGCGAAACATGTAACATACCTGGCGCTATAAGGGGTAATTTTATTTTGTGGTTAAATTTGGTTTTCAAATAATGTTTAGAACAAGTAAACCAATTGGGGGAAATTCATTATTTGTAACATTACCAGAGTTCACTGAACACTATGAGGATTACCTATTAGGTTTTAAGCTTACAATTTAGATGACCTTTAGAATGACTTAAGAGAAGGAAATCTGAATGAAAAAAATGAAAAGCACCTTCACTTTGCAATCCACCTACATGTGGTTCGGTAAAAATTTAACCTCTCTTTCGGCCCTTGGAGGAAGTCGTCTTCGTAGGAAATCGTCAAAAGTGGATCCGGTTAACAAGTAACCATTGGCAGATGAGTGGCGAAGTAGCCTGTTTTGAGCTGCAATTGCTCATTTGTAACCGCTGGAGGTCGCAACACTTAGGGGAAATCATAAAGCGCTGCCTACCGAAAATCACCAACCTGTTCCTAGGGTGCACAGTTTAGCACCAGGGTCACAAGTTAGGTTCGACACACAGAGACAAACTAGAGCTTAATCATAACGCACCATAACAAACACTGATCGTTGAATTCCTAAACGCTTCGTACATTCGGCTCATGCTGATGAGTGCCAGATGTAAGTGAAAGCTGACTAGCTGGTTCAAAAAAATGGTAGATGCATTATTCCGCAATTATTGCTACTGCATTGTCCCAAAATAGGCAGCAGTCTATTCATCCTAGATTTTGTCTACACCGAAGTTAACATGCACTTTTATCTACCTTGTCTCAAGTCAGGGAATTCTGTATCCCACCAGAAGCGGCTGGATAAATTATTTTATTTTCCTGGCTCAACCCAAATACGCATGATTTTATATGTATCTTTGTCAAGGTTTTACACTTAATACAATATCAGAATGTTCTGGTGGGCATTTTGAAAATTATAACCTAACATTCTATTGTTTCATATCATTGTCAGAGACTTCACTCCAAAATTTCTCTCCAGTTGCAAACGTGTCTCTGAACACGTCTTATATTTATTGGGGATAAATGATGCTTATATGATTATTAACAGCACTAAATATTGTTCGCATAACAAATTTATCCGCAACGCCTTTGCTCCACTTTGCAGTGAGATCATACAAGATAGAGCACCGATGGTTACTTTCGCCTGCTAGCTGTCGACGTCAACCTAGACCTAAGTATGCATCATCAATCTTCTTGCATTCGGATTAATATCGCCAATGTTACTCAGCGCACCCATACAGACAAAAAATGTACACGGGGATCATCTCAAGCAGCTTCCACACCATAGTTCCTAAATAGCTAAGCGCAGTCGGATGGAGATAACCAATGCTGTTGATATGTCCAAATGTTTTGTCTTTTTACCCATCGCTGTCGGTAGGCCAGTGAATCTGTTTGAGTTAAAGGGATTGCGGAGTTATATCTTTCAAAGAAAATGCTCGCGCCAAGCTCTGTAGTTCGAACCCTTTGGTTACCACTTCCGGTCCCCTTTCAACTTTCCTCATTGCGAATCTATATTATGTAGCAGCCAATTTTGCCGTTCCTCTCAAAGCTGATGCGATTGCTTAGACGCGATATTTCATTTAACTACTTTTCTCAGACGTTACTTCACATTCTACGAACGATTGTCATTCGCGGTGAGTCCCTGTTACAACAGATAATTTTTTGGAGCACTCCAAAGAAAGAGATTATTGTAGTTCATTATTTAGGATACGATGTCTTACGTGATGCACAGAAACCCGAATGAGACTCCTCGATAACTGACCTCAAATTGACAACATAGCATCCTCTTTAGTCCCAAAGGTATGATTGGCTACCACAAAACAGGCTACACTCCAACCTTTCATTATGCTGCATATTTGGGATGCCCTTTTGGCTGGTCCCATTTTGGCATAACGGGGTTGGGTGAGCTTTTGCGGGTCTAGACATTGACTAAATTAGCGTCATAAACTCAAACAACTATAAATAAACTGATAACATACTTGTTTCTTCAAAGGATAATTTTAAATTGGCGTAAAACATAAAACACGGCGAAATAAATAATCACAAAGAACAGGAAGTCCCAGCAGAGATACAAAGAATACTCAAACGTGACAATCGATCCATCTTTATATCGGTGGAAAAGCAACTGCAGCAAGAAACGTTAAAGCGAACTGCATTGCAAGGATAAGTCACGTTCTTATTACATCATTTAGTGTTTTTTTGCCTCGTCCATATATGCCTTAAGACGACTAGGTAAATGTGGGCTCGGCTCCACATAAACACTCAAACCATACCTCAGAAATCAAAACAAATTAAAAATCAACATACTTTGTCCTTCAAACGATAATTGAAAATTGCATGAAAAAATTACCAGAGAAATGTTATGATCGCGTCGCTCCGGTAAAGGTATATCATATGAAATATTTCGTTCACAGAAATTTCCCCAGGATCCACTCTGACAGCCGATTCAATAATACCAGTGGCTTAACTATGCCAAGTTCAAACCCGAAGTTACAAATACCCAAATTCCGCAACTATTGTAGTTCACAGTAAGTCAGGAGAATACGCAAGGACGGACACGCGGCCAAAATGACCGGCTTTCGTGGCGGGTAAGCAAACAACTGAGTCACATATCTGGACAACCGACAGCGCTCGGGCTAGCCAATCAATCGGACACGCATCCAATCAGCCACTCAAGTCATACGCCAAATCGATGGTAGAACGACGGACGGACACACACACGCGTGTCTCTGGCACACCCTAACCCTAACCCACATAGTCCACATGATCCACCAGGAAGTCACAATTCTTTTTCTTTGTTCGTAGACCACCTTCCTTCAAACGATCAAGTACCACTTTCAACGACTTTGAATGCTCCTCCATTGTACAGCCGGGTATCAGAATGTGGTCCAGATAGACGAACGTTTTAGGTATCCCCGCGATAACGTCTTCATTGTGTGTTGAAACGTGGACGGAGCGGGCTGGATTCCAAAATGTAGGTGATTAAACGTCAACAGACAATTATGAGTACTGATGATTGCAACGGGTTTCGCTTCCTCCGTTAACTCTAATTGCTTGTAAGCATGAGCTAGAACTGCTTTTGAAAAATATTTGTGCATGGACGTCTTTGATTTTAAGTAATGGATAATGTTCTGTATTGACCGTGGTTTTATAATCACCGCAAATTCTAAATGTGCCGTCCGGTTCCAGTGTCGGCAAAATTGGTGTGCTCATTCTGAGAACTCCGAGCTTTGAATTATTCCTTCCCGTTACAAACGGTTAAGTTTTTCTTCAACCTTTGGACGCATGAATTCAGGCAGTGACCAAGCCTCCAGGAATCGCAGTTGTGTTCCCGGCGGAACGTACATATTCGCTTTTTCCCCGGAGAACTTGCCAGTCTTCGGCTCTGAATATACTTCTTCATAATTGAGGATAGGAGACTAAACCTCTAAGAGTGTCGAGACTTGGTTTAACGTAAGTGTGGGTAGTAGTTGAAGCCAGGAACCTCCTAACAAGTTAGGACCACTTCCTTCAGCAATATACGTTTCGTTCACGGTCACGCGCTTAAATGAAACATTCAGATTTTTCGTCCCCAGAAACTTCACCTCTTCCCCTGTTTGGGTTCGAATTCGGACTGGTGCTTGCTGAAGTTTACCATTCCCGGTCTGTACCAGGTTATCTTGCCGTAATTTTTCACTGCAGAGTGTTACGTCGCTGCCCGTATCCCGCTCAAAAACCACTACTGCACTGTTTTACTTGCTACGGCGGTTGAACGCGGTTGATGGAAGCAGCTGCATCAAAGATGTATTCCGTGGTTTCTGACCTTGTAACTTGATTCGTAATAGCAGGGTTAGTTTCAAACGCCGGTGCTGAGCGGCACACTTTCGTGAGGTGGCCACTTTTTTCACGGCGATTGCAAGTAGTTTCTGTGCGTCGGCAATCCTTCGGATGAGTGTGACGGCCTCCAAAACGATTACACGCAAACTGTGTTCTGTTCGGCGATTGCTGTAATCGATTCGCCTGAGACGATGAATCCATCAACTCTGACGTCACGGTAGACTGCACAGATTGTAACAAGGTTGAGTTATTTTCTGCTGCTTTCAATGCCACCGCAGTAATGTAAGCCGGTTCCAAATTTGACTTACTATCAACAAGTGAACACTGTTGTCTGCAACCGTTTCTCATACCAAGTACTAAGCGATCTCTTAGTATATCATCTCGAATATTTGCATAGGAACAGTGCTCTGTAAGGAGCTGTAATTCCGATACAAAATCCGCAATGGATTTTCCTTCCTTTTGCACTCGTGTATTGAAGTTGAATCGCCGGACGATAACATAAGTTTTAGGATTGTAGTGCTCGGAAATGACAGACACAAGGTCGTCAAAATATTCATATTTGGAAAATTCGAAGCGAATCAAACTGCATGTTGCCCAGATACAAATCGCAAGAAGTATGTAAATTTGCCGCTGGTGGTCGGTAATCTGGTTAGCAAGAAAGTAAAAATTCACCCATTCCACATATTGGTTCCAAGAATCTCCATTAGCAGTAAATTCTTCTAGCTCTCCGATAGAAATTCGGTAGGCTGGGTTCGTCAGAAACTCGCAGATATTGTAGTCCACACTAAGTCAGTAGAATATGTGAGTAAAGATACGGGTGTTTTACGTGCAAGCTGACAAAGTGGCCCGCGGTGACCATCGTCTTCTCAACATCTACTAGTTTCACAAGAAAATATTTCGACTGACACTTTCTAAGCCGTACTGCCGTGCAGTGACGGAGTGATTGAATGACTCATAGAAACACAAGCTAGCTGGACCGAAGCATAGGATTTAAATTATCTGGTCTGTGATTCCCCGAGATTCCGGTTGCCAGCTAGTGACATTACATCGCTGGTTTAACAGCGCGATTTTTAAGCCGAAAATAAGAAATACCCACACTTTGGAATCTATGTGTATCTTGCCCGGTGAGAGATAAATTTAGTGAGAGGAGAGATCTCATAAGTCATTGTCGGCATTCACCAAAAGAGCGTCCGGTCCAAAAGTGACCGTTGAGGAATGAGCGGTGGAATATCCTGTGCTGTGTAGCCATGATCCTACTTTCGTCTACGCTGGAAGCCAATAGGATTTTCATCCAACTCCCGGAGAGAATCTTGTGGGTTTGTGAGATGCGTAGTGCGAATACTTCTAGAGGAGCATTAGCCAATTCTACGGTGCCTCTCGGCTTCTCAACATTTACTGGTTTAACAAGAACATTTTTCGACTGACACTTTCTAGACCATACTACCGTGTAGTGACGAAGTGATTGAATGACTCAAAGAAACACAAGCTAGCTTCTCTGTTATGTGACATTTAGATGCATCCTCGTGCGCCCGAGTGTAACAGCATAGATCGGGCTAATTTTGTCCAAAGCACTCATGAGGTGTGCCCACCTGTTAGCAAGCAGATGCAAC